GGATCAGGGATGCCTTGAGGCAGCAATCTGAAGCTGAAATCCACTAATATTTGTTGCTATGCTCGGGAGTGCAGTGCTTGTAATGCGAGGAGGTGATTGTGATTGGTGCAGGTGATGCATTATGAAGGTTTAAGAAAGTTGCCTGTTGCTTTGCAGAGCTCTGTTTGCTTTCAATTAATGGAATAAGGATTGCTTTCAAACCAAAACTATTCTTTTATTTAAAAACAACAACTAGAGGAGAGAGACAAACAAAAAAACCACATCAGCACTGTGGGGGATGAGGGAAGGGAGAGTCCCAGGAGGAGGTGGGGTCCCGGGACGGTTAAAGATTTGTATATGTCCAGGTATCATATGCAACCTTGTCCTTTGGAGTACAGTGCAGCGGGTACTGTACTTCAGCAGGGCTAAACTGCAGAGGGATGGGTGTTGAGTGCAGTGGGTACTGGGAGTCCGCAGGGCTGGACTGTGACGGGGCAGGAGTGGAATGCAGCAGGTACAGACTGGAGCCAGGAGGTTGATAAGATTTTTTTGGCATTGTCTGGGGAGCGCATGGGAAAGAGTTTTGCAACAGCGGCTGCAGGGGAAGGCAGGCATAGAGCTGCTCGGTTTGTAGTGCTAGTAGCACCTGGAGCATGTCCACTTGGCGCTCCATAACTTTTAAGAGCAGCTCCATGGCTTCTTTCTGGCATGCCGTGTTCTCCTTTCAGTCCCTCTTCTCACTGTCCCGCCACTGCTTCAGTTCTTGTTTTTCAGCCACAGAGTGCATCATGACATCACACAGAAAGTCCTCTTTAGTTCTTCGTGGCCGCTTTCTAATTCTGCGCAGCCATTCAGCTGGTGATAACAAAGAGGAAGGCTGGGCTCCCAAGGTCATATCTGTGAAGCCAAAATGCAACATTTTACAGAAGTAGCATGGTTTGCAACACACAGACCACTGATTCAGTGATTTAAAACACAGCCACTATTCACATACCTGTCACTAACTGGCTGACCCCAGGAAAGCTCACATGAGCCACAAGACCCCCAAAATGGTGCGTAACGACAGGGGCAGAGGAAATCAGTGTTCCAGGACTGTACTGTACACTGGGCATGTGGCTCTTGGGGAGAGCCAGCACTTGGGGGGGGGGGGGGCGTGATAATCATTACTGTCCCCACATTTTCCACAGGCTGTGTTCATTATGGAAGATATCTCGCTGCTGAGGGTGAGCAGGGAATCAAGGGAGGGTCTTCTCCAAGACTGCGGCTTCTGCCCTGGCCCTTATACGGCTCACCTGTGTGCAGCAATGATCCCAACCTCCTCCTCCCCTCCCCCCAGTGACGGCAAAGTGGCATGGGAAAGTTACCCTTAATGGGGCAAGAAACAAAGCAGTTCTGCCAAAGAACCTGCAGCAGTAGATTGCCAGTATCTCCATGAGAGTTTCCTGGAGATCTCTGAGGCAGATTCCCGTGAAGTGAGGGAATCAATCAATACCCTGTTCTGCCGCTCAGACTAGGTATGCGCTGGTATGCACATCGTACAGACACAAGCCTGCTTTTTGCAACCCTCCTGCCCCCGACAACTCGCTTCAGCGATTCCCAAAATCAAAGCCACTTACCAGGGGCCTCTTCTCCTGTTTGCACTACACCAAGCTCCAACCACTGTGACTGGGTAGCCTCCTTCAGGGTGGAGAAGAGCTCCTGGCTGCATGCATCTCTGACCTCCGAGTCATCCTCTGCCTCTGGGTCCCCCTCCACATCATTGTCTAAGATTTCCTCCTTCTCGCTCGATCCACTCTCAACTGGCATGCGAACCACCAAAGTATCCACAGTGGTCTTCACAGTGGAGGTGGGGTTGCCACCAAGTATCGCATCCAACTCTTTGTAGAAGCAGCAGCTCGTGGGCGCAGCACCGGAGCCTCCCGTGCCTTGTGGTAGGTGTTCCGCAGCTCCTTCACTTTGACACTGCACTGCAGTGTGTCCCGGTCATGGTCCCTTTCTGTCATGCATCGTGAAATCTGTCTGTAGGTATCATAATCCCTACGGCTGGAGTGCAGCTGGGACTGGACAGCCTCCTCTCCCCGAATGCTGATGAAGTCCAGCACCTCGCCATTGCTCCAAGCGGGGATCGCCTGGTGCGTGGAGCAGTCTTGGTCACTTGGAAAGACGTGCTGAGAGCACTGCACGCGTCACTGAGCAAACAGGAAGGGGACTTTCAAAATTCCCAAGAAATTTAAGGGGTGGGGCTCATGGTTGGTCACCTGAGAGCAGGGCAGTAGAGTTCAAACCGATGTCCAGAGAGGCGAGAACGGGCATTGTGGGACACCTCTCGGAGGTGTACTGGTATACCTATGCCAGTAAAGTATTCCTAGTGTAAACATGGGCACAGTTTTACTGGCACAACCCCTAGTGTGGATGCAATCATACCAGGATAAATGTACTTTCATGAATAAGCACATTTATACTGGTATAACTGCACCCACACCAGGGGATTGTACCACTGTAACAATACCAGTGTAGCTGAAGCAGTACAATTTTTGTGTGTGGATAAGGCTGTAAGCCCCCCCCACCCCCCCCGGTCCCAGAACCTCCTCTTGTAGCGAGCACAGCCCCTAGTTTCTAATCACAGTACTGGTTTTCTCTTTAGCTGGCAAACAACCCTCCCCCTATTTTGTTTTCTAAATTGCGTCAGACCTGGAGAAAAATTAGAGGAAATGGTTTGTGAACTCAGGCAAATTTCTGAGCCAGAAAGATGTCTGTCTGACTAGCTGTGGCAAAAGCCTCCGTGAGGTCTACCCAGCCCTTAACACAATCATGTGAGCTCCGACCAGCAGAGCTTTTGACAGAAGGTAGGAAGAGAAAATCTTGGTAGGAAGGAAAAAGCTTTTGAAAATCTCGATGGCTGCTCATCTGCATCTTTATGTGCCTAAATACCTCTAAAAATCTGACCCAAAGTGGCTAGGTTGAGACCTTTTGCTTATTATTAATGATCCATTACTTGGACCCTTTAGGCACTCCTATCATTTAATTCAGGGTAGTAGGCACTTTGAAGGAGATGTTTGACTTGCAATGGGATTTAGGGTCCTAAGTCACTTAGAGCTGTTGAAAATGTCGCCCAGGCAACCAGTTGCCAATTATGCCTTTGAAAATGATCAACTCCAAAAGCCGAGTGTCCATGTGCTGTAGGAGCACGGAGAAGAAGACAGGAATCTCAGGCCTTGGCTACACTGGCGCTGTACAGCGCTGCAACTTGCTGCGCTCAGGGGTGTGAAAACGCCTCCCCCCCCCCCCCC